CTGGGTTACCTGATCTGTGGCCCTCTCCTCTGCAAAGACAATCCCACAGTGACTAAAGTGACACAAGTGACCATGACTTAGGGCCACATGGTCATGAACTGAGACATCTCATTCTTCTTCCCCTTCCCAGACTAAGGGGTCTGACTGTCCCAGGAGAGCAGGTGTTCCAGGGAGGGAGAGAGATAATGAAGTGAGTGGGAACACTCATTTATTTGAATACTTTACATCAGGCAGGCTGTGTTGGAATGAGAGTAAAATGTAAATAAATAATGAGAGAAACAGGCCTGTGTGTGAGCATGAGTTCTGCACCAGTGTCTACTAAGTTCTGATAATGGTGGCTAGCTTTGCCTGGGAGAAGGTGGGAAAGATACACGATTGTAGATCAAGTAGAAGAAAGCCTAAGTTAGGACACACAGTGCCCACAAGACACAGAAAGCAAGCTCAGATGGTGGGAGATGCACCAGCTCTCCTTGGGAGATGGGAAAATGTTCCCCTGGATAACTATTATGTCTGGGGGTGGGGGTGGGAGACACTACAACAATACCAACCCAAACAGCCATGAGCTGCATAGCATAGAGTGAAAGCAAAACATATGGACCTTTCTAAACAGATGAAAATCATGATGTAATTTGTACTGTAGACGACTGGCAGCCCTGTGAAACATAGATTCCGTACTTATCAGGACGACTGATGATCAGCTACAGGAGATTTTTTTTTTTTCTGAATCCACAGAGCCCATGCTTGTCTGCTCCCTAGCCTTAGAATTGCATCCTTAGAAGATGAGAACCTATAATGTGGTGACTGCTTCCTAGTGCATTTGTGTACAAAATAAATGATCCTTAGCACTGTCTTGCTGAATAGCCCTTCCCATTTGTTCACCTTATTGATTATTCTGATTAACAGAGCCATCCTTGTAGCCTCCATCCAGTCCCATGAATACTGAGTACCCACAATCCCTGAAGATTGGTGGCAAGTGGCAAGTTGTTCCTAAACAATCACTCTTCCCATGCTGTGTCTGTTCCTCAAAACAAGGCAGAGGCATAACAATATTTTCTTGGTGCATTCTCTGGCCACAAGTTCGGTCAAGCAAACAAAATGAACTGAGCATGTCCAAAAGAGCAGGCCTGCTAGAGCTGCATTTACTGGGTCCTTCTCAATAAACCCACTTCCCATGCCATGTCTGTTCCTCTAAACAAGGCTGAGGACATAAGAATATTTTCTGGTGCATTCTGTGAACATAGGTCTGGTCAAGCAACAAAATGGACTAATCATGTCCCAGAGAGCAGGTCTGCTGGAGAACAAGCATGATCTTGATGAAAAGGAAAACGGTAGTAGGAGTTCTAATGGGGCTTAATAATAAATGCCTGGAATCAGATATAAGGGTAAATGCTGAGAGATCAGAGAGCAAAGGAGTAAGACACAGCCACACCTTACCTCCTCAACTTACCAGCCAAAAAGGAGACTGTGTTCCTGTCTCCTCCCGCCTTACATTCCTGTCTATCCAGTCATATCGTTTCCTATGTGTTCATACAGTCCTCTATGGTTAGTTAGTGGCTAGCTCCACCCTCTGGTCGGTCTTAACTAGCTTTGTTAGAGCACAAACAAAATATCACATTCCCCCCTTTTTTAAATGAAAAAAGAAGTTTATAACTAATATAAGAAAAACTATATACAGTAAATACAATAACTATATACAATATATACAGGCAATAAATACATCAACAATGTCTACTCCATTATCAATTGACAAATTCAGAGAAAATACTCCATATCCATCCTATTTTGGTATCTTGGGTGAGTCCAAAAGGTTGTACCTAAATCCATTTCTATCCTAACTTGCATTACCAATCCAAAAATTATCTTTTTATGTCTCTCAACTTTATACATTTTATACCTCTTTAGTGAATTTCAGAGTAGATTCAATAACCTACCCTTATATCCTATCATATCTATATCCCCCTTTCCTATACCTGTAATATGTTTTATATTTATTGTAATAAGCAAAAAAAAAACCATTTCATTTTACTAGAGACATGCTGGAGCATTGTCAGTCTTAATTTATACAGATATTCCCATGATGGCCATAACTTCTAACAAATATGTGATCACAAAATCAGCCTTTTCAGAACTCAAAGCAGTTGTCCATTGACATCTTGAATAGGTATCAATAGGGTGATATACATATTTTAATTTTCCAAGTTCTAAAAAATGAAACACATCCAATCCATCTGCCAGATTTCATTCCTTTGAGAACCCTTTGGGTTACTTCCTGCTGTAGTTAAGTTTGGTTGTATAAAGAACAAGTAGGACATTTCCTTAGCTTGTTACCAAGTGATGAAAAAAAACTTTTTTCAAAGCTTTGCTATTCACATGATGTTTTTTATGGGAGTTAGGGCCTCTTCACATTTCCTATCAATAGTTGACCAATCTTATCATTACCTGTGCTAGAGGACCTGGTAGACCCATATGGGACCAGAGGATAAGATATATATTCTTATTCCTAATTATTTCTTATCACTGAATAAATAATGAAGTCAATTCTGTACCACCTGGTATAATTTCAGCAGTTTCAATATGCAAAGCAACTCTTTCTGCATATTGTGAATCAGTAACTATCTTGAGAGATTCCATAATATCCATTAATACCATGAGAATAGCATATAATTCTGACTTTTGGACAGAATCACAAGGGCTTTGAACTATGTTGCTTAAATTCTGATTTGTAGCCTGCCTTCCCTGATTTATTTGCATCACTATAGAATGTAGGGGCTCCAGATATTAGTGCTCTCCTTAGGATGCAAGGAAGGATCTACTTAGTTCTCTTTATAAAATGAATTCTCTTGCTTTTGGTATATTTGTTGTTAATCTCTCCAAAAATTTACTGCAAGCCCTTTGCCAAGGCTCATTTTCATCCCATAATTTGTCAATTTAATCATTAGTAAAAGGTACTACAATTTCTGCTGGATCTACTTCAGCAGAAGTTTGCATTTTTCTTTTAGAACCAACTCAGAGGACTTTTCCACATAAGTTTTCATTTTTTTACTCTGTTTATGTGGTAAAAAGATCCATTCTAAATTAGTATCTTGCTTCCACATTAATATTCCTTCTGGAGAATGCTTAGAAGGTAAAATAACCAAAATGCAATCAAGCTTTGGATCCAAATGAACTGTAATTTCTTTTCCACCAAAGCCAATTCTCTCTCAGCTTCAGCTGACAATTCTCTTGGACTATTTAAGTCTTTGTCACTGTCTAAGGTTTTGAACAAATGATTCATTTCCTTTTAGTGTACCCCAATAGTGGGCCACAGATAGGAAATGTATCTTAGCAATCTTGAAAATCATTAAGTGTCAACAACACTCTCTCTTAATTTTACCTTTTTGGGGTATAATTTTCTGTAGACCTACTTTGTTTATTTCCTCTTTGTATTTTTTTTCAAGAGCAATGTGTAATTGCCAACAAGGCACAATTTTCTTCAAACATTTCTTTCTAAATTATCTACATTTGAATTAGCTAGTAAGATGTCATTCATGTAATGGTAAACTATAGCTTGGGGAAATTGCTTAAGTATCATTTCCAATGGCTGTCATACAAAATATTGGCACAGAGTGGGGCTATTCAACATTGCCTATGGGAGAACCTTCCATTGCTATCTGTTAACAGGGTAAAAATTGTTATAAGCAGGCACCATGAAAGCAAAATTTTCTCTGTCTTTTTTTTTTTTTTTTGTAATGTGTAGTGGGAAAAAAACCCACTCAATAACTATGAGAGGCCATTCCTTAGGTAATAAAGGCAGCAGAAGAACCCAAGACTATAGGGAGCCCATTAGCTGAATGACTTTATTAACAGCTCTAAAATCTGTTACCGTTCTCCATTTTACAGATTTTCTAAATGTTTTTATAAATTTTAAAAACAACCTATTTTATTTTACATACCAATCCCAGTTCCCTTTCCCTCCCCTCCTTCCACTGCCCCCATATTCTCCCCAACCCAATCCCTCTTCACATTACCTATTTACCAACCCCACACCTATACAAACACATAATTCAAAAATAATTTTTAAAGCATTAAGCATGGATTAGAAACACAGTTCCTGTCTACACTAGGAGTTAGAACTTAATTGAAATACCCCTGGGTGTCTGGGCACATCCCTATCCATCAAGCTCAGCACTGGTGTCTGGGAAAGTCTTCTGCTCCTCCCCTCACCTTAGCTGGGTGGGGGACAAGCCATGTGCAGGTTTGATTGCCTGGCTCCCTCAACATTGATGGGTTTATGGACATCACTGCAAAGGATCCTTTTGGGAATTGAATCTAATCAGGACACATTTAGCCTCTGTTATCTTACCTAGATCCCCAGATTTTGTTTGTTAAAGTTTGGTGACCCATGTCTGTCTTTATCACAGCACTTCCCCTGCACCTCGCATGCCTCACCTAATAATTTGATGTTCTGTGTCTCCTTCCATGCAGTTCTCTCATCTGTCTGTCATTGTGTTCACCCACCTGGACCTGCCATCCATCTGTCCTCCAGTTCCTTCATCCAGGCCTGGTCCTTCTCTTTGCTCCTGCAGCTAAACTCAACTCCACAGCTTTGTGTTCAAGCAGGTGACCTGAAGCAGCCTGATGTGGGATGTCTCCCAATACCCTGTGGGTATGTTTTATTGACATTGGTTAATAAAGAAGCTGATTTGGCCAATAACCTGGCAGAATAGAACCAGGTGAGAAATCCAAGCAGAGATAAAGGGAGCAGAAGGGCATTGTCAGGGAGACACCAGCAACTAGAATACAGTGCCAAGATTTTTTTTGTTATTATTTGCACCTACCAAGGAACAACTGATTAGAAACAAGTTATGAAATATAAAAAGTTGCTAGGCAATTGGTGGGCAGTTTCAGGAAAGCTCTTGTTTTTATAGACTTCCCCCATTGACTGCCTACTGTCACACCTAGGCTTCTAGCATTGCTGAGGCTATAAATTGATGTTTGCCTTCAGCCCAGCCAGAGCCGACATGAAAACAGCCACAGTCTTGGTTCTGGTGGCTTTGATCGCCATGGAGATGGACAAGGTCTGTGCTCTGACAATTTCTCCTGGAAGTAAGTATGGTTTAAAAAAAAAAAAAAAGATCTAAGCTGAAAGCAAAGAGGGCTCAAAGGCCACTAGGCCGGAAACTCAGCTGCCACAGGGGATAGGCATGTGCCCACTGCTTGGATCAAACTTACTCACTTTGGCCTATAAGAGTGATTGCTCTGCATTTCTTATCTTTTATGAGAGAGGGAGAAAGGGGAGAAAGGGAGAGAGAAAGAGCTGAATCTGACAGAAGCTTGGGTAGAGATCAGGGCAGCCCATCCAGTTTGGAGATGTGCCTTGAATGTGGGGGTCACTGGAGCCATTGCTCAGAGATGAACCTGGGGTTTGCTGGGATGAGAGAGGTCTGGCTGTCATTAGAGGTTTGCAGCATCTTCTCAGATGTAAAGAAGGGCTGTGATGGTGAAAGGTTCTTTCTACTGAGACTGTATAGGCTTTGGGGAGGAAGCACACTCTCCCATGGCAAGGTAACACTCATGACTAAGAGAAGGATTAGATCTTGAGATGCTGAGGGGACAGCCCCAGGGTTCAAAGGCGAATATAGAATGAGCTACGTTCTTGCAGGTGACCAGGCTTTCAGACCTCTACCAATTCTCAACCTTGTCTTTCTGCGTGAGGGTCCATAAACACCATTATGTATTTCAGGATTACAGAAACCTGGAGCTTGCCCTAAGATGCCCACACTGGATATGAGAACTTGTCTTGAACAGTGCTCAACAGTATTTATGAGAATTTGTCTTAATCGGTGCTCAGGAGATGAATCGTGTCCCAATAAAAAGAAGTGCTGTAGATTTGGGTGTGGTCGTGTCTGTATGCCCCCTATCTTTAAGTGAGTATAGCCCCATATCTTACTTTCCTATTGTTGTGACATCATGACCAAGGTAACTTACAGAGGAAAGAGCTTATTGGGGACCTACAATTTTAGACAGTGAGTCCATGACCAGCATGGTGGGGAGCATGGCAGAGGGCAGACAGGCATGAAGTTGGAGCTTATATCTTGACACACAATCATAAAGGAGACGGAAAGCTAAGTGGAAATAGTGTCCATGGGGGCCATTGCCTCTCAAACCACCACATCCAACCAAGGTATGTCCATGGTATTGCTGAGTTTCCAGGGGACATTGCTGGCACAGTCTCATGTTGCTTTGTCCCCTGACAGCACACAAGAGTCTAAATGTGTCCATGAGAAAGGAACTGAAGGTAAATTGCAACAGGACACTGGGTTACCTGATCTGTGGCCCTCTCCTCTGCAAAGACAATCCCACAGTGACTAAAGTGGCACAAGTCACAATAACTTAGGGCCACATGGTCATGAACTGAGATATCTCATTCTTCTTCCCCTCCCCAGCCTAAGGGGTCTGACTCTCCCAGGAGAGCAGGTGTTCCAGGGAGGGAGAGAGATAATGAAGTGAGTGGAAACACTAATTTATTTGAACACTTTACCTCAGGCAGGCCTGTGCTGGCATGAGAGTAAAATATCAATTTAGTGAGAGAAACAGGCTGTGTGTGAGCACCAGTGTCTATTGAGTTCTGTTAAAGGTGATTGATTAGCTTTGCCTGGGGGACAGGAGGAGGAGGGAGGAAGGTTTGGATCAATGTCAGAGAGGAGATCAACAAGGAGGAGAAAGCTTATGTTAGGACACACAGTGCCCACTAGACAGGGTAGGCAAGCTCAGATGCTGGGAGAGGGGCCACCTTTCCTTGGGAGATGGGGAAATGGTTGCCCTGGATAGCTGTGGTGTCTGGGTTGGGGGTAGGGAACAATGCAAGATCACATCTAAATGGTGATGAGCTTCACAGCATAGAGTAAGGGCTGAACAGCTGAACCTTTCTAAATAGATGAAAATCGTAATGTAATTTGTACTGTAGGTAGCTGGCAGCCCCGTGAAACATGGATTCAGTACTTACCAGGATGACTGATGAGTAGCCCCAAAAGATTTCTTCTGAATCCATGGAGCCCATGCTTGCTACTCCCTAGCCCTAGAATTGCATCCTTAGAAGATGAGAACCTATAATGTGGTGACTGCTTCCTAATGCTTTTGTGTTCAAAATAAACAATCCTTAGCATTCTGTTGCTGAAGTGTTCTTCCCATTTGTGCATCACATTGGCTGTTCTGGTGAGCAGAGCCGTCTCTGTAGCCTCCAGAGGGTCCCATGAACACTGAGCCCCAAGGATGCTTGCAGATCAGGAAAAGTTCCTCCTACACAATCCCTCTTCCCATGCCATGTTTGTTCCTCCAAATAAGGCAGAAAACGTAACAATATTTTCTGGTGCATTCTGTGACCACAAGTCTGCTCAAGCAAACAAGGGGAACTGAGCACATCCCACAGAGCAGGTCTGCTGGAGCTGCATTTACTGGGTCATGATGCAGGAAGAGCAGGGAGGGCTTGGGGAATTCCCCATTCTAAGGCAACACAGCACCCTGCACGACTGGATCTCCAACTCCAGGAGCCCACACATGACCTCTGGGGTGTGGGTTCTCCTTAGCATGAGTTAAGAGGCTGGGGAGCTGGTTCAGTTGTTACTAGCACATTCTGCTCTTCCAGAGGATCTGAGGTCAGTTCCCAGCATCCTCAACAGGTGGATCGCAACTTCCTATAACACCTGAATCAGGGGATCTGTCACCTCTGACCCCCTCAGATATCTGACCTCATGTGCTCATGTACCCTACCTCCACATAGTACACATAGTTATAAAAAAAATCAATAAGAACCATGGGTTAGAAACTCCAGTTCCTCTCTACATTAGGAGTTAGAACTTAATTGAAAAACCTCTAGGAGTCTGGGCCCATCCCTATCCATCAAGCTCAGCACTGGTGTCTGGGAAAGGCTTCTGCCTTGGCTGGTGGAGGACAAGCCACAGGGTTGACTGCCTGATTCCCTCAGCATTGATGGAGGGAATCTCTCTCCCCCTCCTCCTCTTCTGTTCCTGGTGATGTCTCCTCCCTTCTCCCTCACTCCCCTTTCTAAATAAACTCATTTAAGCTCTGCCTGGAGTGTTTTTCTTTCCACCTCAACACCTCCATCAGCCTCACCTGCTATGCTCTCCCATGTGGTCCCTTACCTTGGGACCCCACTCACTTGGGACCCTCACCAGGACCACTTACACCCCTTCTCCGGCTTTTATTCTTATAACTGTAACTAAAGAACAACAGTGTGTGTGTGTGTGTGTGTGTGTATGCATGTATGTATGCATGTATGTATGTATGTATGTATGTATGTATATTTGCCTTTGTTTTCTGATATAGCATGTATACAACAGAGGGTGGAAAGTTACAGGCACTCAGGCTTGTCTCCTCAATCTAAAGGAAGGACTGGAAAAACATGGAGCAAAGCATGTGTCCAAACAAAACCCCCTCAGTCCTTGAGAAGTAACCCTGTAAATATTAGATAACTCCAAAGCCCACCACTCAATAACTGGGGTATTCCCACAGCTGCTGGTATTTTACCACTATAATGTTTTTTTGGAGTTTTTGTTTGTTTGTTTGTTTGTTTTGTTGGTTGGTTGGTTTTGTTTGTTTTTTGTTTTGTTTTGTTTTGGAGTGTCTATAAATGGAACAGGAAAAGAGGCAGATTATTCTCTACTAGGAGACTAGGAACAGTGCGTGCTCTCCTAGTTCCCATCCCTCCTCCGCTCACCTGTGTAGCCTTCTCTCTAAAGACCTGTCTTACAGAAAAGCATTGGTCTGTGACAAACAACCATCATAGGGGAGTCTGCCTCTAGAGGCAGATGTTTCTGTACTGTCTAACCAGCTCCAATAGAACTACCCAGAGACTCCTTATCGATTATGAAAACTTGGCCGATACCTTCAGCCAACTAGTTTCTATAACTTAACCCTTATTGTTTAATCTGTGTTCTTTCACGGGGCTCCATTATCTTTACTATGTAAAGCCCACGATGCATGCTCTGAGTCCCTGGCATCTCCCCAGGACTCTGACCTTTTTTTTTTTTTTTTTTTTTTTTTTTTTTTTTTTTTTTTTGCTAGCATCCTCTGTGCCTGGAAATCCTGCCTAGCTACTGACCATTCAGCTCTTTATAAAGTCTATCAGAAGGCACTTTTGCAAAGACACATCTTCACAGTTTACAAAAAGATTATTCCACAATATTTCCCCTTTTGTCTAAACAAAAAGGAAAGTTTTAACTTTAACATAATGAACTATTAAAAAAAAGAACAATTATGAGATAAGAATTACATTTACAATGTCCAGTCCATTTGTATTTGGCATTTATGGAGATGATGCTGTATTATTTATTGGTGAGTCCAAGGGTCTGTACCTAATTTACCTTCTAACACAACTAAGGAAATCTGTAACTCTAACTACCTAGTATTCAACTCCATCAAAGGCCCAAGAGGATAAAGTATTACTTAAGTAACCAGGAAGTACAGAGTAAACAACTTCCAAAATTAAAAGAAATGATGGAAACAGTTGGCAGCCTCAACAGACACCCAAGGTTCCTGCAATGTTGGGGCACCTATTGTTGGCCTACAAGCTTAAAATATCTGGCAGACTTTTCTGTGAAGCTGGAACTTTTCAAGGACTGTCTTACCATGTCTTGGCACAGTTTGGTAGTCACTTTACATTTGTGTCCTGCTGGTCCAATTTGGACAGTATAGTATCAGCAGTCAAGGCAAGGGCAGTTTCTTGTTCAAATGGCTAACTTTTGCCATAAAGAACCCAGACTTCATATGGAGGTTCTTCCATGGCCATCATTCTTTTCTAAAGTAAATTAGCACTGTCAGGAGCAGACATGTCTCATTGTCAAGAAAATCCTTTTGTTGTTAAAACATTTTAAATGTCATATTATATAGGTCTTTGAAGTGTTAGAATATCTCCTTTCTATCTAAAATATATCTCTGTATGACTTTGAAAACATATCTAACATGACTAAAAGTTAGATTGTTATAGATGACTAACTACTAACCTTCATTTATTATGCTGAATAGTTTGTAATAATAACTTTCAAGGACTAGAAATTTACATTACATTGTTAAATGAGTTTCATGGGTACAATACATTAAACAAGAGTTGTAACAGTATGCACAATATGTCCTAACACAAATAACCTTAAATTTGTACCAATACAGAAAAATCCATGCCAATGAAAAATATTTGAGACTAGTGGTTGTTCAAAAGTAGGCCCAACAATTCACCCTCCTATCTCATCATTTTATAATATATCTCCCATTTTTCTTTCAGAAAGATATTCTTGAATCTAATTCATATTTGAGCCTTTTCCTGACCATGATCAATAACAACTTGCAGCCAGTCCCCCTAAATGATGACAAACATCTATAACATCAAATCACCAAAAACCATCCACTTCACCTCATGAGACTGTGGGTGTCATGTTTGGGATAATAAGTACTGAGAGATGTAGTCTTGGTGTGCTGGGGAAATGTAGAGCTTATCTGAAGTTTGACTGGTGTAAGCATGAGTTTGCTTGGCCCAGCAGGTCCTGCGGCCCTTGAGCCCCAAATGAACACACACATACTATATTAATTATAAAATTGTTGGCTGATGACTAGGGCTTCTTATTAGCTAGCTCTGTCTTAGTTATTAACCAATATCTATTAATCTAAGTATTTCCACATGGTCTTATATTACCGGAGAAGGGTATGGACCGGTTACTCCTTCCTCCACTACATGGCGACTGTTTCTGCCTATGTTTCCCAGAATACTCCTCATCTCCTAGTTCCATCTATCTTCCTGCCTCATTGGCCACAGTGTTTTACTCATCAACCAGTAAGAGAAACATAATACATAAGGACATTCCCCCATCAGACTGGAGCAGGCTGTGAGGCTGGATCATCTCATTTAGCATCCTGGACGCTGTTCTGGATACAGAACTCTGGGAATACCGCAACAGAGGCACTCTGAAAGGCTGACTCGCCTGAGCCATCCCTTTTCATTGGCATTTGATCCCCTTTCTCTGAAAATACATAAACTTTTACAGTTTCATACATATCTGCATTAACACATGGAATGTGTGATGTACACAAATCAGTTAAAAATGATTTTTGTCTTGTTTGAGTAGGTAAAATATTCATTATCTGTCCAGTAGTTTTTGTTTAGGCTTGTTTTGGGTTTTTTTGGGGGGGGTTGTTTTGTTTTGTTGTTGTTGTTAATGATGTTGTTTATATCTGTAGCCATGATTTTCAAGGGGTTCTCCTCTAATCAACCCTGATCTTCAACCCTGAATGAATTCTCAGCCTTTCATTTTCTGTGGGAACAAAAGCATAACCTCTTCCCCAAAGCAACATCCCTTTTGACTTCCAGTTTGAAGTCAACATACTTTAAAGATATACAGGTTGCTTTAATCCAGCAGCCTCCATAGTCCAATGTCTCTCAGCAGCTGTCACTCATTCATCAGGAATCAAAAAATTGAAAGTCAATACAACACCATACAGGGTCCAGACTCCCTGTATATTTTCCATCTTTATGTGGCTTATTCTTTTTTTTAACTTCTCACTGTAAAGACTTTATTATTTTTAAAGTTTTATTTTTTTTCTATGACATTTTTTTAATTTGCTTACATCGTTAAACACACTGTAACCAGGTTAGAGGACTTTTTTTCCATCTGAGTCTGCTTTACTAGTTATCTCTAACTTTTCTGTCTGCATGAGCAAAACCTTCAACCTGCCCCTCAGCTAGGTTCATGGTGCAGTGGCAGCTCAAGCACACAGGCAACTGCTCGTAGACATTTCTCTGTATGGTGTACAACATGAGGAACACCAGACTACAAAGCCATGATTGGCTGCTTTTGTTTGTTTAAACACCTTTTTAAGATTTCTCAGGTATTATGTGGATATATGTTGCTACATATTGGGCACCTTTTATAAGCATATATTTTTGTCTAGCCTAGCCGGCTCCCAAATAACCACACAGAGACGACTTCTTAATTGTAAAGGCGTGGCCAATAGCTTAGGCTTCTTTTTAACTAGTTCTTACAACTTAAATTAATCCATGCCATTTTTATATATGTTCTTCCACATGGCTTGATTACCTTCACTTTGTAAAGACCATGCTACTTGCTCTGAATTCCTGGCATTTCCTCATGACTCTACCCCTCCTCTTCCCAGTAACTTCTGTAACTGGAAATCTTGCCTAGCTATTGGACACTTTGTTCTTTATTAAACCAATCAGAAGGTGCTTGGGCAAAGACTCATTTTCACAGTATACAAAAAGATAATTCCATAGCATGCCTCTAACTCTAAACTGGCTCTAGCCACTTTGAAATCTTTGAGTATCCATCTCTTCCAGGGGAGAATCCATTCCCTACTTCTCCAGGTAAAAGCTACCCAAATTCCACACCTGTTTAGGTATCTCACCCATGGACCTAAAAGGACACAACCACCATATGTCACAGAGGCATGCCACATGCTTACAAAACTAGATGTTCAGGAAGCCCTGGATGGGTCCAAAGTCTTTGCAGTGTCCTTTTCGGCTTCGGTCCTCACTCTGACATGCTGATGTACACGGAAACAATTATTATTATTTTTTTTGGTCATAACTTTTACAGGGGACAAACTGTGCTCTAAGGAGGAACACGGTGCTAATATGTGCTCTTGACATTTGTCTGGTTATCATTTGATCTACCAAGAAACAATCAGAGAGAAGCAAGTTATGAAATATAAAAAGGAGCCAGGTTATCAGCAGCCACTTTCTGGAGAGCGCTTGTTTTTATAGAGTTCCCCTTTGACTGCCTCTTGTCACACCGGTGTATCTAGCATTACTTATATATTGATTTGTGTGTTCTGCCAAAGACAACATGAAGACAGTCTCAGTCTTGGTTCTGATGGCTATGCTTGCCATAGGGAAGGACTCTGCTGGTGCTCTGAGATCTTCCAGAAGTAAGTATCTTAAGGAGATTCAATCTGACAGCAGAGAGGACTCACAGTCCACTAGGACCTGGGACTGAGATGTTACAGGGGAAAGCCATGTGCCCACCGCTTGTATCAAACTCACTTCCTTTGACCTATAAGAGTGATCACTCTGCATTGCTTATCTTTCTTGAGAGAGAGGAGGGAGGGAGAGGAGAGAGCAAGAGTTGCATTTGACAGACACTGGTAGAAATCAGGGCAGCTTATCTAGTTTGGAGATGTGCCTTAAAGAGGGGGTCACTGGAGCCATTTCTCAGAGATGAACCTGGGGTATGGTGGGATGAGAGAGAGCTGGCTGTCCTTAGAGCATTTATAATGTCTTCTCAGATGTAAAGAAGGGGTTGTAACCATGGAAGGTTCTTTCTATTGAGACTGTACAGGCTTTGGGAAGGGAGAACACTCTCCCGATGACCAGATAGATAACACTCATGCCTTAAGAGAGAGACTGGAGCTGGTGCAGGTGAGGGAAGAGCCTGGGGTAAAAGGAGAATAGAGAACTAGCTGGTTTCCTACAGTGACCAGGCTTTCAGACCTCTAGCATCAACTCTCAACCTTGTCTTTCTCGCTGCTTCAGGCACCACACACACCATTGTGTATTTCAGGTTTACAGAAACCTGGAGCTTGCCCCATTATTCCCCCAACTTCTATTGGAGCTTGTGATGATAACTGCTTAACAGATGAATCATGCCCTGAGCAAATGAAGTGCTGCAACAATGGGTGTGGACAGGACTGCATGCCGGCTGTCTTTGGAGTGAGTACAGTCTTCATGTCTTATTTTCCTATTGTCCTGTCACCATGACCAAGGCAACCTATAGAAGAAAGAGGACAGTTTCAGATAGTGAGTCCATGACCATCATGGTGGGGAGCATGGCAGCAGGCAGACAGGCATGGGGCTGCAGCAGTAGCTGAAAGCTTACATCCTGACACACAATCACGAGGCAGAGAACAAGCTAAGTGGGAATAGTGCGGAGCTTTGAAACTTCCAAACCTGTTCCCGGTGACATATCTCCTCCAACAAGGCCACACCTCTCAATCTGCTGGAGGCCATTATTACAGGAACTAGAAATTGATATTCAAGGCATCAACCCACCAGGAAATAATTTCCAACAGAGGGAAACTCATATTTGCAAAACTTGTGAGAAAAACCTACTCCAGAATATCTTTTTGCTTCTTCCTGTAATTTTACATGTGATAATTTGCATCCTATCCCTATTGGCTATAGGTAATTCCCCACAACCTGTATTATGAAGTGTGTGCATCTCATGAATACAATCCCTGTCTATTTGGCATTTTTAGCTGTGAATTGTCCTCCGAAGTTCTATTGTCCAATTGATATTAATAATGTTAGATTATGAAGACTTTTGATGAATAAAATAAATACAAAAAGATACTACTCAGGTCAGGGATTACAAGTTTCCATTAAGAGCTGTCCTAGAGCACAGCTTAGGAAAACAGCTGTGTTTTCCTCAGCTGCCAAGATAGTTGCATACTATCAACTATTATAAAACTTCAAAATAGCTTTAGATCAGACCTGGTGCCTTGTTAATGGATTTTAAGATAGACTATTCACAGAAAAATACAATCTTATTTACAAGGACACATAGACAGCTGTCAGATTTGTTAAGCCAAGGTAAACAGTGAGAAGTAACTTAATTGTCATGCCAAATGGCAATAATTAACTCACTACAATCTCTTGCCTTGGTTTTAGGGCCTTTGTTTAGTTAGACACTACAGGAAAAGATTCCCTAACTGGTTAGAGCCACAAAGTATAAACTATCTTCATAGCAATGAGAAAGAGTTACAAGTCTCACTGGGCTGTGGTGGCACATGCCTTTAATCCCAGCACTCAGGAGGTGGAGGGGGTCAGATCTCTGTGAGTTCTCTACAAGAGCTAGTTCCAGGACAGTCTCCAGAACCACAAAGAATCCCTGTCTTGAAAAAACAAAAATGAAACAAAACAAAACACACACACACACACACACACACACACACACACACACACACACAAAGAGTTACAAGTAACACACAGGACAGAAAAATGTATTTTAAGATTTAAAAGGCTTTTAATGTCACTGTGCCTCGGAGTATGCTGAGTATGCCTGTCTCCTGTGACTTCATCCCCCTGATCTGAAGCTCACTTGCTGTGGAGGGTCTCTTACCTAGACTCTGCACTCTCTTTGACAACATGTTTCTGTTTGCAAACAGTCTCCAGTCTGAGAAAGTCCAGCTTTGAGAACTACTAACCACAAAATGTTTAAAAGGTTTATACACTTAAAAGTATAGGATGTAACACATGATGTCCTTGTTTCTCTTAGTCTCCTTAATAGTTGACATTTACATGGCTACTTCTATAGATAGATAACAAAAAGACTTCTTGTGCAGTTGTGGTTACAGCCCACTAATTAGGGAGTTGGCCGAAAGAAAGTGTTCTTTTCTTGCTCTGTGCTTATTTGGATTTATTGCTTGTGAGCTGTTGGAATGACTGTTTCTTATCATTTACTTATGAAATGGAACGTGAAATTCAGATGTAGTAACTGAAAGATTTTGTGGGTCATTATAAGCTGTGAAGAACAGAGCTGGGCAGAAACGTGGGAGACATCATGAGAGAAACATCATAAGAGAAGGATAACATCATGTATGAGAGAATTAGCAAGAAAACTTCAAGAGTAAAGATGCAGTCAGAATGAGAAATAGAATAGAGAAGCAAAGAAAGTAACAAAGAAATAGCATGGCAGAAATGTAAGGCAGAATTCAATGAGAGAGTAAAAAGTGATACCATCAAAAAGGTATATTCTTGCTCCTTTTTTCCTACCCCTTCAGATAAGAAAAAAAGTTTAGTTTATGCCAACTACATTGGATTCCTTTAAAGCCCTGTGCTGCTGGGGGCTGGTGCACCAGACAGCAATACTAATGTTTCCCCAAATGCTCTAAAATCTGGGGTCCCGTATTCAAATACATGTCATGGGAGCCATTACCATACCACATCCAATCAAGGTATATCTTCAGAAGTAAGTGAGTGTCCAGTGGATTTTGCCTGGACAGTTCCATTTGCTTTAGCTCCTGACTGTACACAAGCATCTGGATATCTCTAACAGAAAGGAGCTGGAAGTACATGGCAGAGTGTAAAGTGTCATATGATCTGTGGCCCTTGCCTCTACAAAGAGGGTCCCACAGTGACTACAGTGACACCAGTCACCGTGACTTCAGTCCACATGGTCAGAAACTGGGGTATCTCACTTCTTCCCCTCCCAAGCCTGAAAGATCTGACTCTCCCAGGAGGGCTGGTGTTCTGGAGAGAAAAAGAGAGGTAATGAAGTAAATGGGAACATTCATTCATATGAATACCTTACCCATCAGCATGAGCTGTGGACCGGTGTTTCTAAGTTCAGTTAAAGGTGAGGGATAAGGGACACTACAACATGCTCAAACATCCAAAAAAGCAATGAGCTGACCATCATGGATCAAGAGGAACATTTCTAAACTGATGAAAATAATGATGTCATTTGTATTATAGAAATCTGGCAGCCCTTTGGGAGATGGATTCCATACTCACCAGAATGACTGATGGCCAGCCCCAGAAGATTTCCCATGAATTGACGGGTCCCCGCCTGCTATACCCTAGCCCTAGAATTGTATCCTTAGAAGATGAGAACCTATAATGTGGTGACTGCTTCCTAATGCTTTTGTGTTCAAAATAAACAATCCTTAACATTCTGTTGCTGAAGAGTTCTTCCCATTTGTGTATCACATTGGCTGTTCTGGTGAGCAGAGCCGTCTCTGTAGCCTCCAGAGGGTCCCATGAACACTGAGCCCCAAGGATGCTTGCAGATCAGGAAAAGTTCCTCCTACACAATCCCTCTTCCCATGCCATGTTTGTTCCTCCAAATAAGGCAGAAAACGTAACAATATTTTCTGGTGCATTCTGTGACCACAAGTCTGCTCAAGCAAACAAGGGGAACTGAGCACATCCCACAGAGCAGGTCTGCTGGAGCTGCATTTCCTGGGTCATGATGCAGGAAGAGCAGGGAGGGCTTGGGGAATTCCCCATTCTAAGGCAACACAGCACCCTGCACGACTGGATCTCCAACTCCAGGAGCCCACACATGACCTCTGGGGTGTGGGTTCTCCTTAGCATGAGTTAAGAGGCTGGGGAGCTGGTTCAGTTGTTACTAGCACAGTTTGCTCTTCCAAAGGACCTGAAGTCAGTTCCCAGCATTCTCAACAGGTGGATCACAACTTCTTATAACTCCAGCTCAAGGGGGATCTGACATCACTGACCACCTCAGACAACTGCTCTCATGTGCATGTATGTCCATCCCACCCCACCCACACAAGTATACATAACTTTAAATACTTTTTAAATTGTTAACAAGCATGGATTAGAAGCACAGTTCCTGTCTACATTAGGAGTTAGAACTTAATTGAAAAACCTCTAGGAGTCTGAGCGCATCCCTATCCATCAAGCTCAGCACTGGTGTCTGGGAAGGGCTTCTGCTCCTCCTCTGGCCTTAGCCAGATGGGGAACAAGCCATGTGCAGGTTTGATTGCCTGGCTCCCTCAGTTTTGTTGTGTTTATGGAGAACACTGCAAACGATGAAGATGAAAAGGTAAACCCTTCATCTGGGAGTAGAATCTAAGCAGGAACATTTAGCCTCTGTTATCCTTCCTAGGTCCCTGATGTATTCCACCAAAATTAGGTGACCCATGTCTGTTCTATCACACACTGCCCCTGCACCTCACATGGCTCACCTTACAACTTGATGTCCTGTGTCTCCTTCCATGCAGTTCTCTCATCTGTCTGTCATTGTGTTCACCCACCTGGACCTGCCATCCATCTGTCCTCCAGTTCCTTCATCCAGGCCTGGTCCTGCCCTTTGCTCCTGCAGCTAAACTTGACTCCACAGCTTTGCTTTCAAACAGGTGACCTGAAGTGTCCTGACCTGCAGTCACCATAGTTTCTCCAGCTTCTCCCCTCTATGCTACTTAATTATCTTTTCAATCTAGATTCTACTTAGAGTCCTCTGTTTCTCTGCTTAGAATTCTTCTGTGGCCTCTTAATCCTTAACAGCCATTTCTGTGACACATGTATATATGCATTTGTTTACAGAGAGAGATTTGCTTATTGTGTTTCCTGTAACACATGATTTGAGAGTTAGTATTAGTAATTAAGGTTGGAATAAAATATTTGCTTTAGGCTTGGCCAGGGTTAGCATGAGAAGCAGATCTGCATAACCAGTAGCTCCCAATGAAACTGCTGTGTCTTCAGCCAAGTGGTGGGGGCTCATGCTTTCAATCCCAGCACTGGGGATTAAGAGACTGGAAAATCTCTGAGTTCAAGGTAAACCTGGTCAACAGAGCAAGTTCCATGACAGCAGGGCTACACAGATAATCCCTGTTCACAGGAAGAAACAAACAAACAATAAACAGAATCAAACAAGAAAAGAGAAAGCCAGTGTGGTATATTGTGAATTTATTGTTATTCCATTGAATGTGACTATGTTTCTGACATAGCATGCTCACAACAAAGGAGGGTAAGACACAGGCATTGAGGCCTGTCTCCTCAATCGAAAGGAAAGACTGGAAGCCTAAGGAATAAAGCATGTTACCAAACAAACTCCGCTTAATCCCTAAGAGGTAACCCAAAAAGATAAGATAACTCAAAAGCCAGCCTCACGTTGTCTGGGGCATTCTACGGCCTTTGGCATTTTCTCACTACAACCCCTTCTCTGAGAGTCTATAATTAGGACCGGGGACTAAGGATACTGCATGTTCTCCTATGATTCCCATCGTTCCTCTGCTCACCTGTGTAAGGAGTAAGGTTTTCCTCCCACTGCTGGACTCGTCCCGCTGCCACACCAGCCCCAATTAACACACTGAGACTCTGTATTTGATATAATGCTGTTGGCCCAGTACTAGTTTCTTATCGGCTAGCTCTGTCTTAAGTATTAACCTATTTCTGCTAATCTATGTATTTCCACGTGGTCTCCTCTTACCCTCGGAGAGCCGGCTGGCGTCCAGCTATCTCCAGACTCTCCATCTTGACTCCTCCTTACTCCTTCCTCTTTCCTCCTTGTCTCCTAGTCCCTTCTATCTTCCTTTCCTATTGGCCAACAGTGCTTTATTCATTAACCAGTATGAGAAACATTTATACAGAATGACATCTCCCACCACACCTGTGCAGCCTTCTCTCTAAAGACCCGTATTACAGAAAAGCATTGGTCTAGGAACACCGACCATCACAGTGGAGCTTGTCTCTTTACTCTCAACTGGCTCTAGCCACTTTGAAATCTTTGAGTATCCATCTTTTCCAGGAGAGACTTCATCGCTTACTTCTGCAAGTAAAAGGAGCCCAGATTCCACACCTGTGTAGGGATCTCAACCATAGAGCTACAAAGGACTCAACTACCATCTCTCCCAGAAGCATGCCACATGTTTTCATAATTGGATGTCCAGGAAGCCCCAGATGGCCCTGACACTCCACAGTGGCTGTCTGGGCTTCAGCTCTCACCTTAAACTGCTGAGCCACCCAGAGAAACAATTATTGTTTTGTTTGCCATTCACAAAGGTCCAAGCTGTGTACTTGACTTTTCCTGATCATCTATCCTACCAAGAAACAATGCTCTAATTGTATTTAGAGAGAATCCAGTTATGAAATAGAAGAAGCAGCCAGGTTATTTGAAGGAACTTTCTGCTTTCTTCTATACTTCCTTATTGACTGCCTCCTGTCACATGCAGGCTGCTAGAGCTACTGAGGGTATAAATTGATTTGTGCATTCAGCCCAGCCAGATCCAACATGAAGACAGCCACAGTCTTGGTTCTGGTGGCTTTGATCACCATAGTGATGGACATGACCTATGCTCTGCCTTCTACCAAAGGTAAGTGTGTTAAAGGGATACAAGCTGAAATCAGAGAGGAATCATAGCCCACTAGGGCCTGAGGCTTGGCCATTCACCCACTCCGTAGATGAAACTTATTTCTTTTGGCCTAAGGGTGATCACTTGAAATTTCTTATCTTTCTTGAGAGGGGGGGGGGGGAGAGAGAGAGTGTGTGTGTGTTACATCTGGCAGAAACTGGAGTAGAAATCATGGCAGCTTATCTATTTTGGAGATGTGCCTTGGATGTAGGATTCATGGGAGCAGTAGCTCAGAGATGAACCTGGGGTATGGTAGGAGGAGAGAGGTCTGGCTGTCATTAAACGTTTCATATCATCTTCTCAGATGTATAGGAGGGGCTGTGATGGTAGAAAGTTCTTTCCACTGAGACTGTATAGGCGTAATAGATAACACTCATGGCTAAGAGAGAGACTAGCTAAGAGAGAGGCTAGTGAAGCAGAGAGAAGAGACCATGGTACAAAGGAGAATAGAGACTAGTCTAGTTTCCTGCAAGTGACTAGGCTTTCAACCTCTAGCATCAATTCTCAACTTTGTCTTTCTGACTGTGTGAGAATCAATAAATACCACTGTGTATTTCAGGATTACAGAAATCTGGAGCTTGCCCCGAGTTGCTGCCAAACACTGCTGGAATTTGTGTTGAGGGATGCTCTGGAGATGAAATGTGCCCTGGGAAAATGAAGTGCTGCAGCAATGGGTGTGGTCATGTCTGCAAATCTCCCATCTTCAAAGTGAGTATAGCCCCATGTCTTACTTTCCTATTGTGACATCACCACCAAGGCAACTTATAGAAGAAGAAAGAGTTTATTGGACTCACCAGTTTCAGTGAGTCCATGACCATCATGGTGGGGAGCATGGCAGCAGACAGACAGGCATGGGGCTGCAGCAGTAGCTGAAAGCTTACATCCTGACACACAATCACGAAGCAGAGAGCAAGCTAAGTGGGAATGGTGTAGACCTTTGAAAGCTCCAAGCCTGTCCCCAGTGATTCATCTCCTCCAACAAAGCCACACCTCCCAATCCTCCCCCAAAAGCTCCAACAACTGGGGACCAAGGACTCCAATGTATAAGCCCATGGGGGGTGTTACCATCCAAACCACCACATCCAAACAAGGTCTGTCCACAGGAGTATTGAGCTTCCAGGGGACTTTCCTGGGACAGCCTCCTGTTGCTTTGTCCCCTGACTGCACACAAAGGTCTGGATGTGTCCATGAGAAAGGAGCTGGAAGTAATGGCAGCAGCACCCTGGGTTACATGATCTGGGGCCCTCTCCTCTGCAAAGACAACCCCCCAGTGTTGGGAAACTTAAGTACTTGTCCCAGCCAGATGTAGACCTTCCGTGCAAACAAGGTTGAGCAAACAAGGTTGTTTTCAAAACTTTCTGGTGGGCAGTGCAGGTGCCTTGACCCCAGGTGTGGGTGGTGCATGACTTCCTCCTATGCTGAGCCCATCCCCTGGCTTGGGTATATAAGCCCATTGCTCTCTGTAATACAAAGTGATGGCAGCAGCTTCTTTAACTTCTCATGGTGGTCTGCTAAGTGTTTCAATCCCTACAACCTCTGCCAATCTCGGTTCCAGGATGTGCAGGGGCGGCAAGTGGAGGTTCCGCCGAGATATGGAAAGTGAGGAATCGTGGACTGGGTCACTCTGTAGCCGGCAGGAGCTCACTGGAGTAAACAAGGTATGTACAACAATATGGGAATTGCTTCAAGTAAGAATGTAAGGAAGAAACAAATAAGAAAGCTTTTAAAACAACAAGGAACTGAAATTAAAAGTAAAGCTGCAGACACCATAGAGAAAGTTAGTCCTTGGTTTCTGACTGAGGGGGGACTTAATGTTCCTGATTGGGAACAAGTGAAATCAGACCTACAGAAGAAGCTACATAAAGAGGGTACTGACAGTGTTCCCATAGCCACCTTCTCTTTGTGGAGTTAGTCAAAGATGCCTTACTAACAGACAAAGTGAAAAAACAACTAGAGACCACTAAGGAGGCTTTTAGAGAGGTCCAAGAGGAGGAAACTAGATAAAAAGTAACAATTAGTCAGATCCCCAGTAAAGAGAATGATACAAAATGGTTAGCACCTTCTCAGTCCCAGGACTCAGAGGAGGAAACTTTAATAAAGGAAATTGAAGAACTCTGTGATAACTTGAGACTTTGTCATAAAAAACTCACAGGGCTCATGGTCATGAGGGTCTTTCTTCAGATAAGGGAGATGAGGAAATAGCAACAACTGTTAAAAGAAATTCTGCTGGATTAATCCAATTTATACATCTTAAGAATGCTTTGACTTCAAAATTTAAGTCTAAGGACAGGTTACTGGGGAAAAGGATTTCCTCAGAAAGTAACAAGCTGTGGATTCCTTCTAGACTAACATGGTTTGATCAAGCAGGACCGCCTGAAGCAGTGTTCCAGGTGATCCAGCACTCAAAACAGCTTGGACAAGGCAGCCTTGCAGACTACTTCAGCAAGGATTTCTGCATCTTCTTAGGTTCCCCATGACAGCACCCCCTAAGCAGTTGGGAAAGAATGACGCCCACATTCCCAAATATTGTTTACAGAGAAAAGTGACTAAAAAAAAGGGATTTTAAAAACAAAATTGGTAAGATTTCCCGTCCCATGTTGGGGAATGGGCACAGCACTGGTTGGGGTCTATTGCATATTCCCTACTGGGGTGCTGGGTAACGGTGCCTGTGTCTGGATTCTGCAACAAGTACAATAGACAGGCAAGTGTCATCTGACAGACACTCATGGCCTTGGCAGTATAATCTGAATCAGCCTCAGTGTGGCTGCAGATGCTGGAGAAGCGATAACCAATGATGGGCAACTCCTAGAGGAATAAATGCCGCCTAAGACAGGGAATGATGAGAGCATTTCCCCATGATGGGTGAGGTATGGTTCCCCAGGGGACCTAAGCCAGGTATTGCTTCATTTAAAAAATGAAAAGGGAGGAACTGTTGGGAAGTTTAAGTACTTGTCCCTTACAGCTCTCTTCCTCCCAACCCAGATGTAGAACTCCCGTGCTTTCAAGGTTGAGCAAACAAGGTTGTTTTCATATCTTTCAGGTGTGCAGTGCAGGTACCTTGTCCCCAGGTGTGGGTGGTGCATGACTGCCTCCTGTGCTTAGCCCATCCCCTGGCTTGGGTATATAAGCCCATTACTCTCTGCAGTAAACAGTGGTGGCAGCAGCTTCTTTAACTTCTCATGGTGGACTGCTAAATGTTTCAATCCTGACAGCCTCTGCCAATCTCGGTCCCAGGATGTATAGGCGTGGCACACGGTGACTAAAGTGACACAAGTCACCATGACTTAGGGCCACATGGTCATGAACTGAGACATCTCATTCTTCTTCCCCTTCCCAGCCTAAGGGGTCTGACTGTCCCAGGAGAGCAGGTGTTCCAGGGAGGGAGAGAGATAATGAAGTGAGTGGGAACACTCATTTATTTGAATACTTTACCTCAGGCAGGCTGTGGTGGAATGAGAGTAAAATGTAAATATAATGAGAGAAGCAGGCTGTGTGTGAGCATGAGTTCTGCACCAGTGTCTACTAAGTTCTGATAATGGTGGCTAGCTTTGCCTGGGAGGAGGTGGGAAAGACACAGGATTATAGATCAAGTAGGAGAAAGCCTAAGTTAGGATGCACAGTGCCCACCAGACTTGGAAAGCAAGCTCAGATGGGGAGGGAGATGTGCCAGCTCTCCTTGGGAAATGGGGAAATGTTATGCTGGGTAGCTGTGGTGTCTGTGATGGAAGTGCGGTACACTACAACAATACCAAACCAAACAGCAATGAACTGCACAGCATAGACTGGGGGCAGATGGCTTCCATACTTACCAGATTCCGTACTTACCAGGATGACTGATGGCTGTCCCCAGAAGATTTCTTCTGAATCCATGGACCACATGCCTGCTATCCCCAGCCTAAAATTGCGTCCTTAGAAGATATAAATCAATAATGTGGTGACTGCTTCCTAGTGCCTTGTGTCAAAAATAAATGACCCTTAGCATTCTCTTGCTGAAGAGTTCTTCCCATTTGTGCATCCTATTGGCTGTTCTGGTGAGCAGAGCCGTCTCTGTAGCCTCCAGAGGGTCCCACGAACACTAAGCCCCAGGGTCCATGCAGATCAGGAAAAGTTCCTCCTACACAATCCCTCTTCCCATGCCATGTCTGTTCCTGTAAACAAGGCTGAGGACATAACATTTTTCTGGTGAATTCTGTGAACAAAATATCTGGTTAAGCAAACAAAAAGGAACTAAACAAATCCCACGGAGCAGGTCTGCTGGAGCTGCATTTCCTGGGTCATGATGCAGGAAGAGCAGGGAGGGCTCAGGGAATTCCCCATTCTAAGGCAACACAGTACCCTGCACGATTGGATGTCTAAAATTTAAAATAATTTTTATATCATTAAAAAGCATGGATTAGGGATACCAGGTCCAGTCTACATTATAAAGTAGAACTTAATTGAAATACCTCTAGGAGTCTGGGCCCATCCCTATCCAAAAAGCTCAGCATGGTGTCTGGGAAGGACTTCTGCTCCTCCCCTGGCCTTAGCTGGGTGGGGCAAAAGCCATGTCCAGTTTTGATTGCCTGGCTCCCTCAGCATTGTTTGGTTTATGGAGATCACTGCAAAGGATAGAGATGAAAAGGTTCATCCTTCCCTTGGGGGTAGACTCTAATCAGGCACATTTAGCCTCTGTTTTCCTTCCTAGGTCCCCTGATTTTGTCTGCCAAAGTTTGGTGTCCTATGTCTGTCTCTATCATAGCACTGCCCCTGCACTTCACAAGGCTCACCTCATACTAAGTCTCCTATGTAGTTCCCTTTAGAATGTTTGTTCTATGTTTGCTCTCTGGTTTACTCATTCTGTTTCCTCCAAAAGCCCTGATAAATGTGTATTCCTTATCCAGGTCAGTTCTGATTCTCAGGAGTCTCTTTTTTTACCCTCCCAGAGTTCACATTTTGCCCTGATAGCTCATCTCCTGTGGCTATTCATATGCTAATCCCCATCTCTTAATTTGTGCCTTCCTATAGACATATTATGGGGTTGGTGCCCACCCAACAGAGTAGGAAGTCTTGTTTAAGAGAGGGTTATCCTCATCCGGATTCATCTAATCCCAATTTGTCAACCACATTTTGTCCAGAAGGTGACTCTGTATCAGGAAGCCTCTCTCAACCTCTTTTAGTTGGAGTTCAACCAGATAAACAAGCAGGATAAACATTATTAAGAATGGCTTTGTTGCATTCTGCAAGCCTTGCAAGCTGCAATCCTGGGCAGACTGCCTGCACGTAGTTCTGAATCTATAGGCAAGAATGCCTTCACTGGGGAGCCTTGGTTCTGTTCTTCAAGCATCTCCACTGACTCAGTCTCCCCATCCCAGCTTGTCTAAGCTGATTTCTCTTAAGTTTATTGATTTTGGATTAAATGACTGTTACAAGGTATGGTCCCAGCTGCATCTAGATAAGCATTTGAATGCTAGGCTGTAACATAACTGAATTGGCACACCAAGTTAACCACCACAGCGCCCCTGACTGAGTCCATTCCTTATTTAATAGCTGTTTCCCTTGAGTACACTGTATTAGCTAAACTTCAGTGTTAGGGAGTAGGGAGATGGGAAATGGAAGGACAAAATCCTTGAAATAGATCAGCCTCCATCTACTTCATGTCTGTTTTGTAATTCTCTTTACCTGTAATATTTTGTCATTCTGACCCCATACAGAACTGGTTGGGGTTTTTTGTTGTTGTTGTTGTTGTTTTGTTTTGTTGTTGTGGGTTTTTTGGTTTTGGTTTTGGTTTTTGGTTTTTGTTTTTTGGTTTGTTGTTGTTTTTGTTTGTTGTTTGTTTTGTTTGTTTGTTTTTGTTGTTTTGTTTGTTTTTTATCTTACTCCAACAATAATCTCCCTGGGACAGAGTAGAGCAGGAGAGAGCAGAGTGTAAGCCACAGGCATTCCTCCTGTCTAGCTTCTCTCTGAAGTTCCATCCCCTTTCTGTACCAAACTGAACACCCCTTGCTAACACAGTACACCAGAGTTTCTCCCCAAGAGTTTCATAGTCCTCCTCTTCATTGCAAAAAGGTTCCAGAGATACGGAAAGAAGCTATGAGTCACCGCATGGGGTAGGAGGTGGGGGAAGGGGTAACACTGTTTCCTTGCTGACTGCTGACAGCTTCTTTGTGTGTACTTGTGTCTGTGTAAGCACATGCGGCATGCGGAGGTCAGAAGACATCTCAACCAAGTCAGTTCTCATCTTCCACCATTTGTGTCACATGGATCGAACTGAGGTCATCAGCCTTAGCCTTTACCTGCTGAGTCATCTTCCCAGCCCTGGCTGCTGTCTTTCTAAAGCCCAGGGGGTTCTAACAAAATAGTCTTGCATTGTGATGATTATCATTATTATTATTATATAATTACCCTGAACTTCTTTGTTACTTTAAGTCTTTTATTGCTGTAAGAAATTATAAATGAGAAAGCTTTTGTTTTATAATCCAGAAATTCCTTTCTTTTCTATATTGCAATTTTTGTCGGAAATTGGACCAGCTCTTTCTTCTGTCATCTCTTTCTGCCTTAGTCCATTTGGGCTTCTGTGACAGAATACTACAGACTGATCAACTTATAAGCAATTTCCATCTGCATGCCACATGCCTTAGACTGTACAGT